GAGGGGAGAGAGAGGGGAGGTAGAGGGGAGGTAGAGGGTGAGGGAGGGAGGTAGAGGGGAGGTAGAGGGTGAGGGAGGGAGGTAGAGGGTGAGGGAGGGAGGTAGAGGAAGGGAGAGAGAAGGTTAGCGCAGGGTCTCATGTGCCCCAAGACCGAGGCCACCACCGGAATGCATGCTGGCCGGGTGGCCTGCAGCGAGCCCAGCGTGCCCGGGGGTGGGCATGGGCAAGGGCTCGTCGGGTGCCCAGTGTAGAGGCCACGGCTAGGAAGGTGTCTCACGTACCGGCCTGGCTCGACTGCCGGATGAAGGTCTGCTGGGAAAGGCCGATCGAGACAAGATCCCCACCAAGGGCCGAGATGTCCTTCGGCAGGCAGTCTCCGGCATAGGCGAACAGGACGTCCTTCGGGTTGGATCCCAGGCGGAAGTAGATGTTCAAGCCGTCCTGATACTTGCCGGCGCTCATGTGGGACGCGGCCCCGACGAGTTCGGCGCGCTGGAGCAGCGCGATCTGGCCATGCGACGAACCCATGCGCCCGGAGGGAGATCCGGCAAGGGTCCCAGGGGAGGGGGAGCAATCAGGATGTCAGTGCCTGTGTGGCGATGGCCACCGTTGTCGCGAGGCCCCCGGGGGCAGTGGCGCACTTGCTTGCTCTTGTCATCCCACTCGACGCTGTTCAGCAGGGAGATCGCATGGGGGATGTGGTCCATCTTCAGCGACCGGAGAACCTGCGACTGGAGGTCGGCGCAGTGGATGCGGAAGGCGTCGTTCACCGTGACAAAGAGCGGGCCGCTGCGGGTCTCCGTGGTGAGGAGGATGTTCTGATCGCCGGCCAGGAAGCGCCCGGGGATGGAGTTCAGCACCGCCGCCGGGAAGGGAACCGTGGTGATTTGTTGCTGCAGCAGCGACGAGAACACCTCAATGGTCGAGGATGTGATGGCAAAGATGTACGGGTAGGAGAACCCTGCGTCGAGCAGCGGGGGGAGGATGACGAGGGGGCGGGGCGGTGTTGGTCAGTGTGAGTGCGCACGGAGGTCGGGGGCACAGCGTCGCCGGGAGAGACGCACCGAGGGCTTCAACGCGGGCGGCTGTGTTGACGGAGAAATACTCGCGGTTGTTGTCGGCGGAGAAAAGGTGGAAGTCTGCGCGAGACACCGGTGTCAGAGCTGGGTAGGCGGGCATATGTCGTGTGGTCCCCGGAGCCGGGGGAGGGGAGGGGGGCGAGCGGTGTGTGTGTGTGTGTGTGTGTGTGTGCGTGTGTGTGCGCGCGCACTGTTGTCGATGTACACGCAAAGGCGGTTGTGCGTCCGGATGAAGAGCGGCCGCGGGGTGTTGTGTGACGTCAGCGACGTGAGCTTCAGCTTGTCGCTGGCAGACGCAACGTTCTTGTCCGCGGTCAAGGTCTGATCCAGCCGGTGCAAGTGGATGTCCTTGGCCGAGGCCATGACGATGTTCGGTCCGATGATGCCCACCGACAGTAGAGGGACATCTACCGAGAAGGACTGCCAGCACATGTGCGCGTGCGCGTGGGTGTGGGTTTGGGTGTGGGTGTGTGAAGGGGGGGGGGGAGCGAGGAGCCGAAAGGGCGAACAGGACAGCCAGCAGTCAGTACACACCGGCCCAAGGGGGCCAGGCGGG